CACAGATACAATCTCTCACTGGAATTTATACATAAATTAATTAATCTATCTTTTCTTTGTTGGTTTTTGTGTGAAGCTTCTTTCTCACCCATTATGTTTAGTTTTCTGATCGACCAAATTACTTCTTTCAATTAATTATGCTTTTTATGTAAGGTCTTGGTTGAAATGAAAAAAAATTAGTATTAGTAGTAAAAAAAAATTAGTAAAACGAGCTGGATTCGAACCCACGACCTTCGGCTCTATCCGCCGCTGCTCTGACCATTTGAGCTATCTTGACTTTGTGCGGAATATTGAGCCGAAGGCCGTGGGTTCGAATCCCGCTCGTGACGCTAGCTTTTTCATTTCAACGAAGACCTTACTTAAAATGAATAATTACTTCTTTCTAACGTTCAATGGTTTGATTTTTTTTAGTTGTACCATTTTTGTCTCAAATTTGTTTGAGTGATGGTTTTAAATGAAACCAATTCGCGCTGTTGGAAGATGGAAGAAGTCAAGCATATGTGACCAGGGTGGTTAACATTCCCAGAACAACTGTCCGAAGGGTCTTCCATCGCTACCAAGATTCTGGGGGTTACCCATGTCTCCAAGCATGGATCAGGCGGCCATCGTATCACATCTCAGAGAGATGATTTTTATTGTTTAGAATGTACCCCGCAATCGACATTCTACCGCTGTCGAGATCAAGCAACGATTTCAACAAGGTAGAAATGTTAATGTCAGTTTACCCACTGAAAGGCGAAGATAGAAGCTGTGTTAGTTGTGTAATGGCTTACCACTGGTCCAGGACTTTTAACAAAGTACAGAATAGCTCGGTTAAGTTTCGCAAGAAATCTTTTCAGTTGGTCTGAACTAGATTGAACGAAAATCTTTTTTTTGGATGAGGCAAGGTTTTGTTTGAGGTTGCCGAAAGAGGGTTTGGAAGGTCGTTCACATTGATCTTCAACGAGGTTTCCCTTACAACTGTGATTACATTGAAGATGTAGAAGAAGTTGTTCCTTTTTCTGGATGGCAAGCAACAACACGGCTAGGATCGCTGATGACTACTTGGAAGTTCAACTTGACTTCAATTCAATGGTTCGACTGATCACATGTAGTCCCGACTTGAACACTATCGAACACTTTTGGGTCGAGAGGTCAAAAGTCGGCCAGTGAGGCCAGAGAATTTTCAGAAATTAAGAATGGCCCTGTTAAGAAAATAGTATGAAAGTAACAGTATGAAAATATTCCACAGCATTTCTACATTCAAAACCTCATAAAATCGATGCCACGTCGAAGCGATGATCAACGCGTACTGAATTGAATATTTTCTTCACTGTTTTCATAGCAAAAAGTGGTATAATTCCTTTACTCAGTTGAATATTTTATTTGTTTATTTAGCTATACTTGATATTTTTCTTTAAAAATATTTAGTAAACAATTACCTGGAAGAAGTTCACCGACGTCCATTTAGCTGGCGTACTTTAGCTATCCAATATTTTTAATCGATGTCACCTAGGTTGTTTTGCACCGTATAAAGGGGTCAATGCTTTTTTTTTTTTTTTTTTTTTTTTTTATTTTCTTATATATTATACAATTTACATTTATCTTGGAGAATTTTCACATCAATCGTACACGTAAGTAACGGTTTCACTGTAATTCGTTCAGGGAAAACAAGATTGTTCAAATAACTAGGTCAAAAATGATATTTCAATGTATCTTCACTGCGACACACTTGGAATGTCAACCGGGCGGAAAAGGCTTGGAATACTCATCTGAAGGCTTAAAGTCCCTTCAACCGCTAAGCCCGTGTGCTTTCTTCAATTGGGTCACGCATCAGCCTAGATTCTCAGGATTTCCGCCTATACTTGTCTAGGAATTATCCGATTAAAAAATCTCCATGCCGGTCGAGATTTTGTAATCGCCGTGATTCATCAGGAATGTTTGCCGCGGCCGCTAAATTATTAGGCATAACTGTACATTGGCATAACAGAAATAAATTGGAAAAAAACACATATTTGCTTTTCGACAAAATTCCTTATCGCGTGTAAAGAGTGAATTGAAAAGTCAATTAAAATGGATCTAACTGGAAGATTCAGCGAATTTTAACAGGGCTTCCTCTCATTATAATATTACGGTTTTTTCCTTCAATTCATATTTATGAGAAAAATAACTGAGCGTATTTCGTTTTACGACTCAAATATGAAAGTTTGATATTCAAATTTATACATGGACTTACAAATGGAGTTTGTAACAGTATTTTATTGTGACCTTGTGTATATCATTCAAGACAAACATACTGACCGAACTTCAAAGAGGTTTACTGTCAAAATAACGAGTAAGGAAAAACACGAAGGATTCAATACCTCATAGATTGCAGTTGACGAGCTTAGCGAAACGGACAAATATGCTGAAGGTGGTAACGAACCAATAAATCGGGTCACGGTTAATTATGATGCCATAAAGTATGCGATTTTGAAGTGGCGAGGAAAAAAAATTAAAAAAACAAAATACAAGTGAAACGACCTCTGCCCGGCCTCCTCTCTCATAAATCCTCATGCAAAAGATGGCTGGCTTCCTTACCTTTAAAAGCCCCTCTAGCCAGGACCTGTAGAAAAGTCGTGCGTGGAAGATTAAAAATCGACGATTCTTAAATGCAAAAAAAAAGCAAGACGTTTCGGATCCGGCTTATGAAAAAAAATTAGATAAGCTCTGGGGGCAAACACCAGGAAATCGTTATTTGATGGATTTTATTTATTGGCTTAAACATTTAAGGTCGTGGATTCCTAGCTAACAGGATTTTAAAAAAAATCAAACCACGTAACTCTTGTTTTTCCGGTGATGGCATAATCGAGTATAAAATAAAAATACAATAAACTATAAATAATTTCATTTGAAAACTAAAAATAATAACTGCTCCCTTAAAATACTATGCACAAATTTTATTGGCATAATAGCACTTTATTTTCGTTGTGGACACATTCACTCTTATTTACATACCATTCGTAGAATAATTCGATATTCCTCCATCACCCTTAACACATATTATACTACTAGCCTAGCTGTGACTCCATATTCCGCCATCTGCCCTCTCACATCACACATTCTCGCTAACAAATACATTCACTCTAAACACAACCTTTACACATTCTATACAACTAACGTAATTGAGGGTCGATGGGGACTCGATATTACCCCATCTACCCTCTCTCATCACACATTCTCGCTAATAAATACAATCACTCTCAACACAAACTATTAGTATTTACAATAAAACAACCACGTGCACTCCAAGAATCGGAACAGGGGACCCAAATACTCGCTGCGTGCTCAAGCACAATTCGGAATTCCTACATGCTCTCTATATAGGCCCAAGGAATTGCACCCTTCAATTAACTGGACACGTAGAACAACCTTTATCTACATGTCGGATACAAACGCGGGTTTTGGGACAAAACTAAGTGTCCGTGAGTCAATCTCCCATGGCCTATTGTTAATCGGGTGTGTATTTTGATAATGTATTGTTATTTATTATTTTTATTGTGATTATTTTTTATTTATTATTTTTATAAGCTCAAATGTGCACATATATGCATTTACAGGGTGTCCCAGAGGTTTGGGTGATATTACGCCCTATGTGCAGGCAACGTTCGACGTTATAGTCAGTACCTACAGTTATTTCAGATAAAAATATTATGAACAACCTTGTTTTCTCCACAAATTGAAACATGGATGGATACTCGTTGCCGAGTTCATATGCTACACAGACTATGTAGAGGCAAGGAATTTGCACCCTTCAATTAGGGGTACACATCGAGCAACCTTTCTCTATCGGATACATACATTGTAGCCCATTTGGTAATTGTCAGTGTGTCAATCTCAAACCAATTATTTTAAGATTTAACTGTCAATAAAGTTTACTTAGCTTTTGAAAAAGCAGCACTCTCGACACAACACGCAAGAATGGCACAATTACACAGAAGACAAACATTTTGAGCCCTGAAGATGATCTCAATAAAGATCGAAACGTTGGCACAATAAAGAAAATGTTTTTCTGAAACCTACATCACACCAGACCGCATCTCACGGTTTCTAAATAAATTTTGAAAAAATGTTCTGTAAATGATGAAAAGTTTTGCTGTTTACATTAATCTTAGTACAGATAACCGTAGATCAACAACCGTAACTGTTGGTATATCTATAATGAATAAATTACAAAAATAAAACAATAAAAAAATTAATTTAATATTTATTGAATTATTTAAAAAACTATGCGGGTTAGCATCTGGGTTATATATTTGCGTTTTAAGGTCAAGAGGTATGATTAGTGGTAATTGGTTGATCAAGCGAGTTGAAGTCTTTTTTTCAGAAAAATTTAAAACATGAGAAAATCCCATATCTGTTTTTAATTAAAAAAGGATGATTTGGATCGCAGGTAATTCTGTTGCCCTGACGAGTTTACCATATACTTATTTCAAGATGATTTTAAATAAAATTTACTTTCTTGTTATACAAATGTATAAACCTGCCTAAACAGACCTTTTAGCCTGAAAAGTTAAATTTATTGGCGTTGCAATACCTGCTGAGGGAAAAGCTTTGAAATATGGTAAACTCAATTTCCATTTCTAGGTCAAATCACATGATCAAAAATTTTAAAAAAAATTGAACCGTGATACAAATTTTTTAAACTGATATGCTTTATTAAAAGACCTGATATCGAAAGGGCTAAAAATTAAACTAAATTTGATTTTGATCTTCTTTGATCATCCTGAAGACTTATTCCGCTGGGGTGGTTGTATTAATCATCATAGATAATTCACTGAAACATTCGATCCGGGATGATCAAACTGCTGACACGTTTCAACAGACCACCCAACTCAACAAAATTAAAAAAAAAAATCACCCGATCTTAATTAATTATCCAACTCATATTAAACACTTTAATTAATTTTTAATCCCTTTTGTATAGAACTATTACATTTCGCTACGTTATATCTGTGTGGTCTTACAATTTTTTTTTACAGGCTGTAAAAAGGGCTCAGGAAGAGAGCGATCTTGAGAGGATCCAGGACCTGTTCCCGAACGATTGCCTCAGACTGTACGATAAGGATGTTCTAACCATGGTAATTAATTTCTTCTTTATTTTTATACATAAATAAAGCAAATAAGGCCCATTCACGACGTTTATCTCCAAGATAACACCCTCTTAAAAAGGTCATAAAATGGATTCTCTCGTGTTCCCAATTACACACAGCACATTGTAATTTTATTTCTTATGATTTGTAAAGTCATTATTTGAAATAGAAATGTTAACGGGCTAAAATAAAATCACTTTATTTTGCGTACAAAAAATATGTAACGGAACACAACCATTATTACCGGAAGAGCATTGTTCCTCAGTGAAACCTTTTTCAACACAATTGATTAAAGATAACGTTCCAGGATTATCGTAAAATAAAAAAAATGTTTTTGGGAAGTTAAAATTATTGTATGATTTAGCATTATCTCAATAACACGACATGAAAAGATAAAACACATTTTCTTGCTTCCTCACGTTAAGGATTGGATATCTACAACTTTTGACACACCTCTTTCAAAACTATGTATCATATCCTTTGCTTTCTTTTTTGGATCGAAACTCATTGGGAATGAACTCATCGGTTGAAGATAACCCGGTGACAACATTAAGTAGATGAGATTTCCGAGCAAAAAGAAATTGAACTCGCCAACATGATATTTTGAAACTTGTGAGTAATCGCTCACTCCCTGCAATCTGGAATTGATGAACTTTCTCTTTCCTGCGTATCATCCGCTGACAGTGAGATATGAAACGCGAAAGGCGCAATCTGTAATTACCCACATCGCTTATCAGCTTCAAAATGCAAATCCTCCTTTCGTCTTTTTCGCCCAAACCCTCACTGTCGACAGCGTAATCGTTCTGCCGACCTTATGGGCCGATCGGATGTTTTCCAACCCCTGCAATTACCTTCACGTGCTGATATATTAATGATTGCTTTATGATAAGTTTTTTTTATCAATATTTATTTACAAAATTTGCATCACGACTTTCAACCATCTCGCCCGAATCGCCCTTGGGCAGAGGCTACCTTGTGACGTCTATAACGATTATTACTAATAGAATGAACGTTTATAAAAAATTCGAAACGCGAAATTTAACGAATTGTTAGCGTCGTGAAAGCTCCTGAGTTTTCCGAGGTTATGAACCTGTATTTTGGTCTTTTTCGACCATCACTCGTTGAAATCCATCATCCAGACTTATGTCTCGGTATGGCCAAGTCTCATTAAACAAATAAACTAATATCGTAAATTCATCAAACACTTTTGGCACAAAATCTTTCATAAAAAAAACCTACTTTTCTATCTTGATATTATTTGCATTTGCAACACATTGTTAGTATTTTTCTTGTTTCTTTGTTTTGTATTGTTATTCGTCAAATTAACTCTATATACAAAAAATTTACACAGTGCTTCCAAAATTGTTTAGTATATGACTTATATGGCTAATCTAGCATTCTAATATACAACAAATTTGCACTTTGGTAGTTTGCGATCATCGTAGTCTGGCGGAGAGAGCTGCTTTGGCTTGTCAGATTGATTGTTAAGAAAAATTTCCATCTTCAGTGTGGGTTGATGTTAATTGTTGACAATTATTATACCACTGAGATGTTGAAAAGCCAAAACTCGACTGACAGGCCAAAACAGAGAGGAAAAATAGACCAAAATAATCAGAAACGACCGAATTATAGATCCATTACTACCCTGACATCAAGAGGAACTCTCATAACCTACAACTTGTTAGTCTATCTTCTAAAATTGGACGAAATGAGACCAGTACTGACTATAACCGGCAGTGTTATCACATCACACTTCTTTCTCCGTTCGCCGATATACAATTTACATTTAACTCTATTTAAAAAATTTCTGAAACGTTATTTTGATTTGAGTAGTTTTAAAGGCCGGATGAAGGATTTTGTAGGACCTTGTCTTTTGTGGTGTTGTAACGATGGGATCAAACGCGCGTCTAGATTCTGTTGGGTTCTCCCATTTTTAGACATAATGACCGATATAAAAAAAAAGTCCACGTTGTGGATGTTTGGTTTGGGCGGATTCCCGACGGGTGGATGAACTCATTTCGGCCGTTCTCAGGCTAATGATGGTGAGAAATCCATCGACAAAAAATAGATCCACTATCAAAACAAAAACTACGCAATTTATTGTTAAATTAAAACAATGAGCAGTGTTAAAGATAAACTGCTGATGAAATAACATGAATATTAAGCATCGTGAAATGCTGGCATTTATTGGTGTGTGATGCTGATAAAATTGCTCGATTATTGCTGATAAAAACAATAGTATTTTATTCTTTCTGACTACTACATATTACTATTTTCAAATATCTTTCCATTAATTATTCTTTTTGTGTGAAGTATTGGTTGAAATGAAAAAGTTAGTGTCTCGAGCGGGATTCGAACCCACGACCTTCGCCTCAATACGCCGCTGCTCTAACCACTTTAGCTAACGCGACTTAGCTCAATTGGTTAGAGCAGGGGCGTATGGGACCAAAGGTCGCGGGTTCGAATCCCGCTCGTGACACTAACTTTTTCATTTCAACCAAAACCTCACATAAAAAGAATAATTAATTGAAAGAAGTAATTTAGTCAATGGACCACTAAATATAATGGATTTTCATATATGTTTTACTAGAATCCACACTATATTTCATCATAAATCTGATTTCTTTCAATTCTCTTCCTATAAATAAAATTCAATGCGCCTTTTGTTCATTAATAATAAATTTAATTTTTTTTTTTATCGTATATTCTTTATTACATTTGTTTTTTTGTTACAGAGGATGAAGGGATTGATGAGGAAGAAGTCTAGTACGGCGACGCGGCTGCAGCGCGCACTCTCGGCCAAGTCTTTGCGGCCTGAGTCGCCTCCGCCGCGTCAGGGCCCTCCGCAGGCAGAAAAGCGTCAGTTCATAATGGAGACCAAAGTGCAATTCACAGCTGTAAGTTGTCTTCAACTTAAAAACAAAATTGTCAATCTTCAAGAAGAGAGCCGTTTGAGCTTTTTCCTGCTAGGCGGCAAAAATCATATGTGGTCATTATAACTTTGACATACTTTTTAGAGAAGGATCTAAAGACGTTTCCGACAAACTATTCAAAAGTCTTAGACGTTGATAACCAATCCTGTTTTACGATCTTCATAATTTAAGGATGTTTTTAGTTTTTCGAGTTTTACTACTCATTAATGATTCAGCTGTTGTCCCTTCCCACTGAAGTAACAACAATAGGCCTATAGGAAGACAAAAGAATTAAGTAAACCTTACAATTATAAGACGTAATCGATCATTAAAAAGTAATGAAATTATACATGCATTCTCCGACTAGTCGAGTACAATTACCAATAGTGTCGCAACGTACAAACTCAATAAACATCATAAAACATGCAATAGTAAAACAGTAACATGACTTCACCGAACCAAGGCATTCCATACCTCCATGATTAGTCCTTGAAACATAAACAATTTCCTATACAATCATCTATCATCTTTTACTGAATTTTTGAATTGGGTCTCTGAGTACCGAAAGGGCAACTGGGGCGCGCCGGGTATAAGCAGGGCGAAACAGCTCTTGATTCCGTCCATCTTTCCATCTACTTGTCCATAAAATAGAAAAAATTATTTTCTTTCAATACTCTACCCACTTACACGGTTTTGGCATTTGACTTGTTTGAAAGGCCGTTTATACAGTAAAAAACAAGTGTCGGGGTGGCGAGTCTTGGACACGCAGGATTAACAAAGACAGTCTTTAAATTTCCTTCACTTAAATATAAACTATTATTTTCCTCGAGTATCTTCCATCATCTTTTACTGAATTTTGGCATTGGGTCTTTTGTTGAAGTACTGTTATTACCGAAAGTGGCAGCAGTGGCGCACCAAGTTATAAGCAGGGCGAGGCAGTTCATTCCGTCCATCACTCCATGGCCTTAAAATTACAATTATTGTCATTCACTATACCCATTTTCACCGTTTTGGAACGTCTATTTCAAAAGCAGTTCGTCAAAGAAAAACCAGTGTAGGGGTGGCGAGTCTTGGGTACGCAGTATGAGCAAAGACATCCATCTCTCTTCACCAAGATTTGAAAATTGATTTCCAAGCGTTTAAAGCGCAGTACATACAGAAAAGAACAGTGTCGGGGTGGCGATCTGGGATAAGCAGTTTGAGGCATAAAAAATGACGTTATGTTGTTGCAACATTTCTTCCAATTATCAATTTGATATATTTGGCATTATGATTCGGTAAGAACTTACTGATTGCTCAGGGTCAATAGTCCTGCCGTATGAACCTTTAATTGAAAAAAAAAATCCTTTATAGGTCTTCTAAACGCAAATCATGAAATGGCCATGAACCCGTTCGTGGTGTCGAGGTACCCAGTTTACAAGTGATTTGCGAAATAATCACTTTTTACATAATTTGTACGTTCTTTTCAAATTCGGCCATTTGAAGTGGGATTTTTGTAGTTTGGCTTGCGCAGTCTGACATCTTCACATGTTATCCGTCGAATCTCCGGGCACTTCATGTTTCTTTTATTATCGAACACTATACAGCGACCTGATCAAAGATCTTAAAAACCCATTTTCTCTTTGTTTGTTTTTTTAAGTCACACTGGCCAAACACTTGGAGCTGACGCCTAAGTACTAGAAAAGTAAAGAAATAGAGTCTCAGTAGATCATAATCCATTTCCGAAGTATTAGTTTAAATTTATATGATTAAATGAACCAAAGATTCAGTGAATAACATATGACCAAGTATTTAATGACGGTTTCGTGCACAAGGACTTTTGTAACAACCTCGAACCATCAATGAGCACTTGTTAATATCCAATGGTCGACTATGTACATTTGTATAAAAATGCGTGGATAAAGTAAAAGGTTTTACTTGAAATTTAAAACTCAAGTACCTTTCTGTGGAGTTTTTTTTTTTTATTTCAACCTCGAGTGGCCAGGAGACCGAGTGATTGAGAAAAATTTCGATAAATAATTAAACTTTATGCAAGGAAGGAGAATGGATTTACAAGGACAACGAGAAAAAGTTAACAATATTTTACTCTCGTCCATCGATATGCGTTCAAGGACTTCTAATAGTCGTTGCCACACGGTTCAATGAATTCCTTAATTAACGTAATAATTTCAAAGTACTCTCATTTTGTAACATAATATTCCCCGGTGTAATATCATAAACTGGTTTCAGTTAAATCATAAGCCTTAATAATCCGGTCATCTAATGCGTTAATTTTTTTAAATACTGGAATATTTATTTGCAAAAAATGATTATTTCATGTAGTATTTTATTTCATTGAAATCGTGAAAAATTTAAAATGTTATGCTGGTTTTTGTTTGCCATTTTTAACTTTAATTAGACAGGTAATCTACGTTGATAGAATCTCATTGGTTTATCAAGGTTGTTTTTTAAGTGTAAGATAATAGTGGCCATAATATTCATCATGATTTGTCAAATTTATGCTGAAGGAATTTTCGGTCTTTGGGAAATAAACGCACAGTCAATTTTACACGGGTAAAGTTAAACTATAGAAATCGTCATAGTCAGTGACGAATGAAGGCTTGTCAAATCTCCTGACCAACGAGACGTACACCAGATATGACAACTTCCGATTGACTCGTTGACTCAAAGCTAAATTTATCTTCACAATTATTTTGATAAGAGTCCTTTAAGATTATTTCTCTCTCCTTAGGATTAAGAGCTATGCATCGACGACACCAGGTCAAAAATGGGTCTCTGATGGACGAGTCGCGTGAGCGCGACCCTCTCGCTCTCGGCTATTATCGGCAATCTACTCCACTCACGTATCAACAATTAGTCCCACTTCTTCCTTTTCTTTAGCCCTCCTCGGTTGTACACGGCGCCCCGGCTCATCCCTCGGATTGAGTGGCACCTTGCTAGCCGCTCTCACGAAAGTGCACTGAACCGGGTAAATTAAATCCTTTGAGTTTCAAATTGAAGGAAACACTTACCTGACAAGTAGAGGTGCTTAGCGAATTATATGAAAAAAGATATACTGTTGTTTACGACACAAGTGAATTAAGATTAAACTCGTACAACTAGTAGTATCTCCGCCGTCTTAATTTTTTTTTTTCGTATTTTATGTTAAATTTTTTTATAAGATGTAGGAAGAAAACTCAGGATTATATTTGTGTAGGATCGGGGATGTGGTCCAATGAATAACTATATGTATTCGTTGTATAGCCCTGAGGAAGGTGAAATAAAACACCGAAAGCTTGGCATAGTTTCAACGCCAGAACTTTCATTGGACCACACCCCCGATCAAACCAAATTTGTTGTTGAATGACATCTGGTCGATCACCTTTACATCAAAACTCAGGATGAAAGAACCTCATTTTGTTGTAACTAGTTACTTTCGGTGTAAACAGGAGGCGTTCTGCAGTTCAACACAGATATTGGCTCGATTATATTCATCCGACCTTATATTCATCGCAGATTACTAGACCATACGGCAATGAATGTGTATTTGGCCAAAGGAAACAAGTCATCCCGACCGGTCGACCTCCGGAATGAATACATCGACTCGAACACTGCTCAATGTGCGGTTCATTAGGGAAGTAAGGTCGCAGCGTGCAATTTGGTTAGGAAGTTAAGTTACGTACGACATCGCAAACTAAAATTGAGGTTAAGGCGGCAGTGTGAATCGTATTGGAAGTTCTACGTTTGTTGATTTAAATCGCGAAAAAACAGAAATAGTGACGAGTGCCGCGCTTCATAATTATGAATGAGTGACGACGACATAAAACGACTTTGAAAGCGCTACTTCGAAAGACAGGCAAACATTTCAGGCAGCGCAAATCCGAGTACCCTAGGAATCCTTCGTTATCACAAGAAGCACTACGGATATTGGAATCGAAGCAGAGCGACAAGCCACTTTTATGTCCATCTATATGTACAGATGATTATGTTTTCGATTATTACTTGGACGTTGACGCACCATTCCCACCTTCCATGTGTGCATGCCCACCGTCGTTGGACCAACTAAGTACGACGAACGGACCAGAGGCCTTTTATAGGCATTTCAACGAACAGTTTTACCGATCCCTCGGTTTGGAAGGTGCTCGAAATTTTAAAGGAAAGTTAAATTGAAACCAGAGTTAAACTACTTGACATCGGTACCAGCAGCTCTGGAATACGACGTATATACTGCAGAGAACGCCAACGACATCAACTAGTACTACATGCCAGACCTCATATCTCTGAAACCTACATCTAAGGTATATTTATCTAGGACGACAGCATTTGTACTGCTGAATACGTTCTACGTAAACTGGTTAATTATTTTCAAACAAATGTTTTCGTTTAGGTTTTGTGAACTTGAAATCGATCGAATCATTACAATTGATACGATATGGTAAGGTAATGAGGATACTAGGAGGTGGGGTTGTGCTCCCCAAGCAGTGCAGCCTTCTGGCTTAGTTCTTCTTAGTTCCGTAGTTCAGTGCAATAGATTCAATCCTCCTTCTTAGAAGGATCAGGTGATTGACTATCGCTGCTACAATTTCATTCCCTAGATTTTTTCGTATGTTAGGTTAAAGCTCCATTGAGCTGTTACTTCGCATTCGAAGTTGATATGGGTGGCTGTTTCCTCCTCATTGCACAATCTGCAGATGTGATCATCGTTGTACATGTTGTGTAGATGTTTTCTGAGATGTCAGTGACCGGTTAGTAGTCTTACCGTTCCTCTGAGTTTAGCCCTCTCCAACTGCAGCAGTGTGTTTGTCTTTGTGTTGTTTTGTAAGTTTACTGTGTCTAGCGCCGCTAGAGTTTATCCACTTATCCTTTTGTTTTGTCTGGATCAATTCTGCGATGGAGGATGCTATATTTGTTTTTGTTATCCCAACTATATATTCGAGGCCTATGTATGGTCTTGCAGATCCTCCTCTGGCCAGTCTGTCATTTAATTCAACAACTAATTCCTTATT